CAGATCTTTAATTTATCGTATTGAATGGTTGTGTATAAAATTTATAAGTCGTAAGTCTGTAAGCTTTTTTCTGTGTGTTATTTCATAAGAAATAATTTTTAATGACATTTTATCACAAATTATATCTTAATCCGTACTAAAGAAAGATTTCATTACACATAGCTTACAATACTATAAACTACTTAATTAGATTAATATTTGTTTGTTGTCTTTACATTGAAAACAAAATTCCAGTCTGAATTATCCTTTGTATATGTCCCGTATTTGACGTCAGACCTTCAATTTGTTAAATTTGAATTAATCTGATTTCTTGGTAAAACTGAGATTCAATTTTCTCTTTTTCAATTTCTTTGTAGATTTCTTATTGTAACTTTTCACAGAAATTGTGATAAATGCAATGGATCTTCTCATTTTTAAAAATTCTCCATCCTTGGAATCATGCCTATAATATTTGACAAGTATTTATTTTGATTTGAACATAGTTTTTATTTCCATAAAGATATCTAAAATAAATAAATTCGCACTTGTTTTCATAGGTATAAAGCAAACTTTGCTTAATTTTTTTTCGGTGATGTCTTCAACTACGCAACTTGTTTTCCTTAAATTACGTCTTTATTACCGTATCCCATTCATTGTTATAAAACAATAAAAAGATAGGATATCAGCTTAACTCCTACAGCTTATTTTGTTGTTTGTTGTAACAGGAATATAAGTGATGATTAAAACCGGTTTCTTGAGTGGAAACGAATGACAGTTAATTAGAAAAACAAATATGTGAAACTTACACCGTATATTTTGAGTACTCAAAGTCACATGTCTCTTGGGTTTAAAACTTATATATATTTTAAATCCAAGAGACATATCATTAAACGCGATTAATGTGACATTTTCAATATTTTGCAATGTAAGCTTTGCATGTTATTCCTAAAATATGGAGGTAACGAACAATATTCGAGTTCAAAAGTCGAGAGTCAAAAGTAAATTAAAACATTAAAATCAGAAGCAAAGCAAACACATACCTCTCAAACATCAGAGGTGGGATCAGGTGCCATGGGGGATTGATCATCCCCTGCCTACCGGTTACACATGCCTTGTGTTCCTTGTCATGATGGGAGAAACGGAAACAATCAGTAGACTATTCAGGGTGAAAATAATGGCCTAACAATTAGTTTGACAGTTGTCAGTCGGCATACGACTTCGAATGATAGATTATTCAAAGTCGTTTCAATTGTATCAACCATAGTTGTGATGCAAAGTGATAATTTAATTTTAGACTGTAAAACCTCCTTTAGTTTTTTCAATTTGTTCTTCAAAAGCTTGTCTCCTTCAAGAGATTTATTACTAGAAGAGAAGGCACTCGTGTATCGAATCTACTGTGGGGCAAAAAAAAATGCAGGTTATAAGGGTATGTTGCTACATGAGTAAGGGAAGTTCACGGTCATCACGTTTATCTGAAAGCTTTGTTGTTAAAGTTCATTAAGCCTTAAAATTACTGTTGACGAATGTTCTTCTTATAATTCAAAATTGTAACAAAAAAGAGAAGAAACCTATTTATTTAAAGTGGAGTGTGTCAATTTTAATCACAATCTATTTTCAATATCACAGAAGCAAGGGTAATGTGTATTCATAGAGCCCGTATTATTCTAATAATCGGTGGCTTATTTATAAAATTATGATTTTTAAAAAAAGATTATTTAAATAAAGAACAAAGTTCTGTCAGTTAATATTTGTGATTGATTGATTGAATGTAGTTTTACGTCCTTTTACTCTTATAAATACGCCACTGCATACCGATGAAAGGTTTCAAATTGAGACCAGTACTCCGCTCTAAGGCCAGTGAAAAGCGAGGGGGTTTCGACACGGGTGCTCGGATTTTTAGAGCCGAAGGATCCGCAACAAATGTTTAGTGCTTGTCAAAGAAGCAGTTACTATTTATTATTGACTTGGTCCAGTCATGTCTAGGGTTTGACCCCACAACTTTCCGATCACTAAAATTTGTCAATTAAACAAATTAAACCGGTAATACATATGAGAAGACAAATTAAATAGTTGTATGGTGCAGGCAAGTCGTTACAGCAGCCGCGCTATCACCATCGTAAACATATTTATATACATTGTTTGCAGATTTTATCTGATTTTTTCCTGCTGATTATAAAGTTGAATATTCAGTCTTATACAAACAGAGTCAGTGATTACACAAACAATATTTTATTAGAAATATGGTACCGGTATGCTATTAATTATCCATTGTCTTCTGTTACGTATTAAAGTCACATGATAGTTATTATTAACTAAGATTTTTATTTTTTAACATTTAAATTTGGATCAATAATATTTAATGACTGAAATACATCCTTAGAAAAAACAACAAAACTGTAATCATTAGAAACATAATGCGCTTTTCATTTCAAGTAAGTGAGAAGCAATCCTTTAGCTTTCCTTGAAATAATACATTTTTGTTACTGTGTAGGAGAAAAAAAATTAAACACTTCTTCGATTTTAACACGTGTACAAAACGTGATATGCATACACATGAAGTAACCAGAAAACAAGTGTTCTATCAGACACAGTCTTATCGTTGATTGAATAATATTTAGATCTTATCTCGTGTTTCTCAATATCTAATTACATGTGAAAAGAATAGGATAGGTATTTACTGCATGGATCATATTGATTTCAAGAAAGAATGCGTTTTGTTTTAAAATACATTAATTTTCAATATGACATTCTTTTCATTGAAAAAAAAAATTGAACAACGTAATTTTATCAAATGTTTGTAGAATCTCATGTAAGTTTTGTTTAGTTAGGACTGGTACTTAGTTTAGACCTTTTAATTACCCACATAATGCAGCTGTCTGTTCAAAGTAGGGTAAAACACAACACTGAGATGGCATCCGTTAACCAAAAATGAAGACTTCATTTTATCAGGACAAAAGTAAAATGTAACTCATGAGAACAGCGAGGTCTTTCCTTTCATTATACTTTTTTCAATACGGGGTTTCCTTCATTTATTACAAAATTCCTATATTAATCACACGGAAAACTAGGAGTGACGCAGAAGAAGTCCCAAAGAGGGTTCTTACTCGTATCTAATGTACTTACCTACTTTCCACTGAAAAAAACAGACACACTTTTTTCATTAATTGGTTTCATAAAACCTGAGTAATGTAAAAACACCACTTTTCGCGGGGGGTTAAATTTATATGTTCTTGAATGAAAGAGATTCGTGACATTGATGAATTCAAATCCACTGCCAAATGCAAAATGCTATTTTCATAGCTGCTCGACAATGCATCCGCGAAATCGAATTTTCCTCGAAGCTAAAGTTTTTTCACCATACCATGGAAAGAGCAAGAGCAACTTTGGGCCTTATTTGACCCTGAGAATTTCTGAAAAATCAAAACCGCTCAGTTTAGGTTGCAAATGCAGTATTTATCACTTGGAGTGTTGGTGACCACGTATCCATTAATCGTGACGTAATTTCCTATCTAATCAATGCATTATGACGTCATAAAATGCGTCATTTTCCTCATATCATGTAAATTTTCATTCCTTTGAAAATGACTTAAAGTTGAAGCATTTTTTCAATATTTCATATAGAGCACAACCTCTGATCCAAAATATGCCCTGTTTCTGAAGATCAAAAAAACATTTTTATTTTTTGGATCGTGGGCTGTGCTCATATTTTAATTCTTTGCTGAAGGTAGTCAAATACGCATGTTTTCTGCAAATTTCAAGAACATTGCAATTTCTCAAGCCTGTTTTTCAATATCTGGATTCTCAAAATGAAATTTTATTATGGAAAATGATAGCACCAAGTTTCTACTTTATTTTGATATATGAAATGGGAAAGAGGATGATAGTTAATTAATTGATATAAGTACAGGGCCATTTTATGCATAAGATGGCTCTTGCTCTTTGACCATGAAAATATTTGTTTTTACAGCGAACAAATATTTTTTTCTCTGAGTTTTTGTTGATATTTATTATTCATCATGATAAGCTTTCCCTTGCTGCAAATTTAGACTTAAATCGGCACTCTCAGGCTTGGAGCAGTGTCAGCACCCACTGCAGCATAGGAGAAGACCCTTAGTCTAGAAAAAAAACGCTCTGACAACTGAGCCATTTTGAACGATGAATACTTTTTAAAAGTTTGTACAAACTAATATAATTAAATCGTGAGATATCTTTTTTAAATACGGAAATTTGAAGACAGGAAAACTGAAGTTTTCTCGTTTGTCATATAGTTATTATTTAGTCTAAAATTCAAATCAATGGTAACTAAAATACCCATGTATGAAAGAATTGCATTAAGATCGCTAATGTCTTTTATTTCTAATTCACTATGATACATATAGAAATGGCATAAATATTTTTAAATTAAATTTAAATAATTAATTCTACAATTAATTCTTCAATTTATCAAAATGTTTTATTGAAAGCCGGAACAAGATTTGGGGACCTGCCTAACGAGATGCTTTGCCTGTTCCCATTCCTTATTAAACCTAATAAAATCTTAAAAATATATTTCTCTTTGATTGTTTAGGAGAGATTAATTAGTTCATTTCATTACCTAAATTGATTTGTAAAGTAAATTTTCCTACAAATAACTTTATAATTCAGCTTTGATGTACAAGAATTATATTTACTGTTAATTATTTTTTTAAATGCAAAAGAAACATTTTGATGCTAATTAAGATAAATGAACAGAAATAAAAAAAACTGAAAATTTTTTTTTTTTGAAAATTTAAATACACTAAAATATAGATAAGAACGAAACAAAGGGGAAATATGTACGTGTAACTTGAAAAGCCATGCCATATTACTAGTATCCCTTATTATGGTATATATATAAACATTTAAAAGCCTACAGAAAGGTTCCCTTTTTATTAAAAGGTGAACACATATTTCATCATTTGTAAACATTTTATTGAACAAAGTGACCAAAATCTCAACTGGTCACATAAGAAAATTAAAACAATTAAATCATAAATAAATACTAAAATATATGACACTTTAGTGGAAACCAAAACATTCAAACAATCTTACAGTGTCCAGAAGGAAGAATGTTTAAATAATGTGTACAACAGGGTCTTTGTTTTTTCAGATAAGCTTAAAATGGAAACAACTTCATGCCAAAATGTATTTATTTCTAAACAAAAACAATATCTTGAGAATGAAGTGAGCATATTTAGTTTGTTTTTGTTTAATTCACACTTTATTTCCCCCAAGAGGTTAGGGCGTTCCATCCTCTACGTTCCATCCATGGACCACTGTCTTGTAAGAGACGTTGTCGCCAATAAGTTGTCAGTCTCTTTGAAATATCAGAAGGTAGTCCACGTTTACCCCACGAAGTGAAACTAGACCACTTACGTTTTGTAATTTCATCACTATTTAGCATATTTTCAGGACTATTTCTTTTCCCCCAAGCTGATAGAGACGACCACTTGCGTTTTGTAAAATCCTCTTCACTATCCTGACTATTTAAACTTTCAGGCTCACTCCTTTTTCCCCAAGCGGAAAGTGATGACCATCTTCTTTTCTCGGCATCATCACTGCGTTTTCCCCAAGGTGCGAGTGAAGACCATCTTCTCTTCTCTTCAGCCTTATCAGTTGTGGGGTCGGAAGATATTGACCGCTTGTTTCTGGATTTGGAGTTGACAGATCTCTTCTCAACGTTAACGTATTCATCATTTAGCCCGTCGTATTCCATGGGGGCTTGACGTTTTCCCCAAGAATTCGACATGGATTTCCATCGTTTGCCCCAGTTATTGTTAGCACTGATCAATCTGTCCAACCAACCTCTTTTTCCCCAGGTACCAAACGAAGACCATCTGCGTTTTGCTTGTCTTTTCCCCCAGGCAGGGAATTGATCCCAATTATAATTGTCTCTCTTTGGATCCAGATCATATCCGTCTAGCTCCTCACCGTAACCATTGCTTACACCGGCATGTCTTTTCACAATATCACGGCCAGTGACCGATGTTTCTATCTGTTTCGTCCTCAGGCTAGAGCAAACCTTGACAAGACTGAGAATTACACAGGACAGATACAGCTGGTGAAGATCGCAATGCATTGTTTTTGTGATTTCTGAAACAGACAAGTTCACTTAGTTTATTCTAATGATCTGAGAACGTTCATCCGTTTTAAATTTCATTAATTCGTTACTTTTTCTAAAATGAATTTGCAAATTGCTTACACATAGTCTTTACAAAATAAAACATTACGTAAAACCATATTTATTATGTCAAGTCGGAAACCTTTTCTTTAAAAAACCTCTTTTATTCAATATGAATTTCAAATCATTGTTTTTCAATGTATACATGTATAAATAAGTATTTAAAAATGCAACAATAATTGAGTAAAATATTCATCATTGAAAAATTGGCGAGAGGTCGTGATGTTTTGCGTTGCGATATTTTATAGAAAGAAAGATGACCGATCATATTATTTCATTATCAGGAAAACAATGTAGGCAGATTAGATGGTGTCTGCTTCTCTTGTAGTGGAAGATGAGGATAGTTGGGCCGACAACTGTGACGGTTTTCATTCATCTTGTGAAAACAATTGACACTTTCTGTCTTTGTTTTAGTAATGGAAAAGAACAGTATATATGAATATCAATGGCTCAATGAGATTTGCAGATTAATTTTAATCAGCTAAACAAATACTAATTGATTGGAACTGCGATTTCCTGCTTTCCAGAACTGAATTTTCAAAAATCAGTTAACGAAGGGACATAGTATTACAGTATGTGTATATGATATTGTAATGTGAAATAAACGATTCGAAAAAAAAATATTGTAATTAGATTGTTTGAATTATTTCTATAACTATTTTAAGGGAATTCAAAATTTTCAGAATCTTTTCTTTGCTAATATCATAATTTTTCTTCTGTTTCGTTCATCCCTAATTGCGATACTTTTAATTTATCAGTAATTAACTTTAAGTAAGGTGTCAAATTTCAATCGTAATAAAACACAAACAAAGCAGATTTACATCGGAACAATCACCTTTGCAGTCGGCTAGCGAAGACTGATGAAACGTGGGAATAGCTAATCGAATTATGGGTTGACAATTCTAGACAAAGAAAATTCACGTGACCAGAGAATCTCGATGCTCAGACGGCGTAATCAAGATTGAGTAGAAGAAAAAAAAAAAGATTTTAAAAGACCTATCGTGTGAAGTTTTTAAAGATATATATATCAATTTCATTATAATTATTTGTCATAAATTGCCTGTTGCTCGCAGTTTTCGTCTTTTATCAATTCTGTTTTTTTTAAAATAATTTTAACATTTTGATACCCTTAAAACATCAGTTTCAAATTAAGAGCTAAAGGAATTTACTTTATCATTTGATCTTCGGTAAAAGAAAGCCAAAAAAAAAAAAAAAGATCAAGATCAGCTACAACCTCGCTGCTATCAAACTTTAACTCAAGGTTAGATATTTAAAATAGAATTGCATGTATATTTGTAATTCAGTCTTGAATTTCAGAGATCTATCACGTGGAAATTGTACCCTAAAATGTGTCTTACTTTTAATTCCATTCACCGAGTTCTATGGTATTGATATTTTAAAACGGTAAAAGTTTCTTTTTTCGCTAGAAAGAACAAACGTACAGATAAAATTAGTGAGAAATTACAAAATATGTATTATGATTCATTAAATGTCAAAAAAGAAATTTAAAACAACAAAAACATGATACAACAATCTATATTTCAGTTATCAAAGGGAAATAGATGTAAAATATTATAGGTTAAACCCGATAGCTAAACAGATATCAAAAGAATTTGCTTTCTGTCGGCCAACTTTTAATTGTCTGTATCAATTTCAGGTGATTCTAAATGGATAAAGAAATCATGGAATATTACGTCAATATGAATTAAAAATTAATGTCTGAAAAATAAAATCTGGGACAGCAGAGCTTCGATACTCTTGTGTTCATATAAATTCAATGAGCGAATCTTGTCTCAAGTGAGTATCGTTTGCATCAATACCAAATTTTAATTACAGTAACTTCGGAGTTCATTTCCAAATTGAAAGTTACACAAAGAAATTCAATGAAACATATGGAGATAACGAACAGTATTCAAGATCAAAAGTCCAAAATACAAAAGTCTAAGAAAATACAAAATGAAGAATTTAACATCTTGTCCCGAAGGTATACTTTCATTTACAGATCACCAAACTCCTTAATGTCATTTCATAAAATAATATCTCCAAAACATATTGCAAGAAAACATGAATATTTATGGAATGACTTCTTTTAACCTATACCCGACTCACCAAACCTAAAATCATTTCTTAAAGATCCTTATATCTTATCAGTTTATCAGTGCAGAGTTACTAGCTAAGGCTATGAATCGGAAAACATAAATTGCAATCTTACCTTTTGGGAAAAGTTCGAAATAGGTCTTAAAAAAATCTCTATCAATTACAAGTAAAAAGAGTGACACATGAATTACTAGGGTCTCGGCTTTAATACTCTTATAACAATACTGGCGGAGGCGTTTGAATGTGTTTGCGCTCAGCCCTACGCCTCTACCGAGCGCTAAAGCCAATCAGAGGACGAGTTGGGCCCTGGAAATTGATCTCTTAGACTCTTGTAGAAGCATCGGAGAACTTTTCATAACACTTGTCAGATTTTTAAACCCTTCTCAAATATGTTACATTCTAATCATTAAAGTTTATTAATAAAACATGCCATTGTTCAAATGTTGTTAATTTGAAAATTCTTATACCACGCACGCTGTCTACCATAGGAATGTTGTAGGAAAAACAAAAGTATGTCAATAATAATCTGAGAAAATTAAAAACAGACGGTGTTTGAATATAATATAAAATCGTTCATAATGGGGCTTCCCTGGGTAATTGCTTATCAAAAAGAATTTTTAAATAAAAGAACAGTAACAATATTGATTTTATACCACGGATATAATTTCCGATTTCAATAGAAAATTTCAAACTGATAAATCTCAATATCAAGGATTCGGCCTGAATTGGCTCTTCATCTTTATATTATCCCGGCCTAGACGTGCAATACATCATATTTGTGACAAAAGGTTACCCGATGTTTAATTCATGAGGTACATTAATTATAAGTGGTGCTTGTGTACGGAGGGCCCTGCAGTTCTCTTTATGACCACTTTGATTGCAGACCGTATGTAAATAATTCATTTTGAGATTTGTGTTTATTGGCAGTATAGATATGTTGAGGTCACATTCTTTTCCTTCTGTACAAAGCGCTTTCTTTTCAAAAGGCTTTCCAAACATTAGAAAACATCAACCATAATAATTATTTTCTTTAAAATGTAATCATCTGTAATCTAGTAGAAGTTTGATCATACCCTTGGCATTTCAGAGTAGATAGAGAACAATATAAGTGTGTTTTTTCTTGTTGTTTGGTCTTCTTACTTTATATTTACCTACCATTAGATTGAATTATTCGATTTTTTACTTTTGGTTAATATCATTCTCACCCAAATCCTTTTCTCTGTCCCACACCAACTTCCGTTTAAGCCACCTCAGCTACTAATAACGTTTCATCAGATAATGTTTGAGGGTTTAAAGCTTTAATTCCTAATGACACCTGTTAAATCAATTCAAATAAAACAACGCAAAAACAGTACCCTATTTTTATTTTTCATAGTTTTTCTATTATTTGTGTGCATGTTTACGACACATTTCTATAAAAATAAATGCGCTGTTTCACATTTTGTACTTTGCGAGTTTTTTTGGGGGGAAAAGTTACATTGTCATGATCTGAAGTATGGAAATCTGAATACTAGTGTTGTGCATTCAAGCAGAGTTGTTTCATGTTCTAGATTGCTGTTACAAAGGAATAAAATTAGAGCTGTTTAATGACGTCACATTAGTGTTCGGTATTTAAGTATATCCCTACATATGTGCACAAGTAGTGCTTACGTCATTTATATTGAGTTTCAACAATAAACTTGTTAACAATTATACTCGGTTATCTCCAGTTTCTATATTACACAATTATGGACTCTTTTGGTTTGGAATATTAGCAATATACATCGATTTTGCTATTTTTTTTCTAGCGAATATCAAATCATAATTACCACTTTAAGAATCCATAATCATTTTAATATAGGATTAAACGTTCTTTTTTCAGAATTTATCGATGTGTAAACTCTGCCTTTTTGCTCACAAACTGAATAAAAGTGCGAAGCACTTTTATGTAAAGTTTGTGAGTAAAAAGGCAGAGTTTACACATCGATAAATTCTGAAAAAAGAACGTTTAATTCTTATAATTCCAATTACGAATTTTTTAAATTATTAAAATTATTTCCGTTTGAGGCCGCCATACAATCCGTTATTTTGTACGGCGTAGGAATACTTTAATGCCACCGATGCCACAAAGAAACGTGTACAAGATGAATATCGATAAAATCCAACTTAAATTGTCAAAACAATCAAAAAATAAACTTATAAAAATTCATTGAATGTTGTTTAAGTCAACAAATATCGTAAATACGCGTATTCTCCAGAATAATTCGTCCTTGACCATGGCCATGTTGACGTCATGACGAAAGTTGAAGACCGACGACGTCCTCGGTTTGCTCTGGTTCGTTTAAAGATTTAGGGAGAATATGGGATCTGTAGGATGTAAACATATGAATTTGATGCCAGAAAGGCAAGAGTCTGAGGTACGTTTCTTTTCCCTATCACAACGATACCAACTGAGCTGATATGGAACGTCGAGAAAATGACAGCATGATCAGCGAGTTTTTCAAATTCACACTCGTGATGCGACAGTGACATAAACATAATATTCCCGTCTGTCAGTCCTGTTTATTTCCTTTTCATTTATTCATTCGATCATTCATTCATTTTTTATTTCAAGTTTCTTGTAGCTAAAACGGACTAGAAGTATCTGTTTTCATTGTTTTTACAACAGTCAAGAAAGTAGTTCAGATTGAAGAATTCATCGATGTGTAAACTTTTTCTTGAATTTGTTTTCGTCCAATCAGAACACAGGGAATCGATAAATAAAATTAAGATTGGAATTATTATATAATAACTGTCTGTATTCGAAAAAAATAAGATATCTTAGAGGTTGCCGGATGATACCTGTACCGTTTTCACTAACGAACATTTCGCACAAAATTATTCAAAGTTTCAACTTTCACGTTTTCCTTTCGAGGATCGTAAGGCAACATTTCTTGTCGAAATTTTCTGATTGAAAATTAATTAAACTATTAAATCCCTTCAATGGGCCAGCCTTATGTTTTCTTTGTTCAGACGTACAGTAGGCTGCGGCCACTGCAACAATTGTACACGTTGCTACTTGAGTTGACGTTTGTGACGTCACAGTCGTGGATCTATCTGGAGATGATGGCCTAAAATCTAGTGATTATGTTTATGAATGAATTGGAATTGTTGAAAATTCATTTGGGCATTAGTTATGACGTTTTACGCAGGCACATTCAATGTAGCGCGGTAGACCTCCATGATAAAAATGCCGGCTTGAAGGTGTGATGCGTTGCAGTTCATGTATCTCATGAATTTTCCTTTATGCAACAAGTTTGCCCCCTGATTAGTTCACTTTTAATTTCAAAGATAATAATTTAAAATGATTGTCAATATTGTCTTACATGTACATGTGACGTAAAAAATAGTTCACAATTTATCTGCAATTTTAATACCCAGCTGATACAAAATATTAATGATTAAATGTTCTCTGTAAGATAAAAAGAAACTTAGAAAATACAATCAACAAAAAAAAAGAGAGAAGGAATGAAAGAATTCACGGCAGATAAATTGACCTTATCCTGAATTGAATATATATATATATTTACTTTAGTACTTAATAATTGTTTGCGCATTTTTGTAGTATTGCAAAACGATACTCTATTTGTTTTGAACAATGCTTTAGTTCTCAGCATATCTAGTAAGCTGTAGAAAACAATGACTTTCCTGTTCTAATTCAATCACTCTGCATTTACATTGTTATGATATTATTTAATTATCTCAGTAATCAATACTAATTTTTTTATTGACTTAGACGTCCCTTGGTCACTTAATGGCCACTTTAAAGCATTAACTATTAAACACCGTTCATCCGAAAAGTTTCCTAATGTAATCGCAGCTTTAATTATATTAAATCTTTTCATGTATATTCTATTCTTTGATGCACATCTGACACAGTTTTTCTTTTTTAATTTCACCCCTTCGTTTAAAAGTATAATACATTTATGTAATCTTATTGAACTTCGTATAGGCAATTCGACAAAATAAGGGTAACAGGTGCCATGGAAGAGATTCAAACAATATATTGGAATATATTATTATATAAGCAGACCCTATTTTTTTTTATCAAAACGAAGCAAAATCTGTTACAAAATTATGCGTGAAAAGAAAAAAACACTTGCTGTGGCCTTCAACTCGACATCTAGATATATATCGACGACGAAATGTCATTTAACAAATTATGGCTATTTTCATTCTTATGTCGATACGAAATATCCCGGTGAGCTTGAAATGAAAGATACTATAGAATGTGACACATCTGTTTCACTTTACGATATTTTACTTGAAAATGACGTTAATGGTAATCTAACAACCAAGCTATATGATAAATGTGATGCCTTTCACTTTTCAATGGACAACTTCCGTTACTTATGTATATACCTTCATCAACTACATACAGGGTTTATATCTCTGAGTTAATTCGATTGATTTCAATTGATTGAATGTGTGTTGTTTTACGTCTTATTAGAGCATTAAAAATTTTTTTTTAGACACGTCATCGTTTAACGGTTAAGGGCTTCAAATTTTGACCTTTACTCTGCACTCAGGGCCATTGACCAGTGAAGGATTTTTATCGTGCCAAAACCTGTCGTGTCATGGGACCTCAGTTTTTAAGGTTTTATCCGAAAGACCCACAACTTTAATTGCAAAGGCACAGGCGAGGGAACAGTTTTTATCGAGTTAGTTTAGTCACTGCCGAGATTCGAACTCATGACCTCCCGATCACAGAACAATCGCTCTACCGACTGAACTACCGTGAATTGTCGAATTGATTCGATACGTGAGAGCATGTCTACATATGAACAATTTCTAAAACGAGATAAACTATTGGCAAACAACAATCTAATTAAAATTAGATAATAGATCCGCTCACACACTCGCTACACTAACATCTACCAACATCCCAGAGGGTCACATCAGAGGACAAATTCTTTCAGCCAATCAAATCCTCGCCTGCAAAATCATCATTTATTTGTTGACGTAATCGAAGCGAATAAGTCTAGAGTTATTCCGAATTTGACCTCTGATGTGACCCTCTGGGATGTTGTTAGATGTTAGTGTAGCGATCGAGTATGCGAGTGGATTTAACATCTAATTTTAATTAGATTGGGCAAACAAGTAACTGAAACAAGAATATGAGCAGTTTCGTTTAAATCCATCATTTCGTACGTTCTATGGTCGATACAATGCACATACAATTTATCATTCAG